GTTTGCCAGTATTTTATTGGGGATTTTAGCATGATGCTTATCAGGGATATTGGCCTGAAGTTTTCTTTTTTGTTGTTGTGTCTCTGGTTTTGGTATCAGGATGATGCTGTCCTCATAAAATGAGTGACTCATAAAAGAGTTGCTCCTTTTCAATTGTTTGGAATAGTTTCAGAAGAAATGGTACTAGCTCTTCTTTGTATCTCTGGTAGAATTCAGCTGTGAATCCATCTGGTCATGGGCTTTTTCTGGTTGGTAGGTTGTTTATTAGTGCCTCAACTTCAGAACTTGTTATTGGTCTACTCAGGGCTTTGACTTGTTCCTGGTTTAGTCTTGGGAGGGTGTATGTGTCCAGGAATTTATCCATTTCTTCTAGATTTTCTAGTTTATTTGCATAGAGGGGTTTTACAGTATTCTCTGATGGTAGTTTGTATTTCTCTGGGGTCAATGGTGATATCCCATTTATCATATTTTATCGTGTCTATTTGATTCTTCTCTTTTCTTCTCTATTAGTCTAGCGAGTGGCCTATTTTATTAATTTTTTCAAGAAACAAGCTCCTGGATTTATTGATTTTTTGAAGCATTTTTCATGTCTCTATCTCCTTCAGTTCTGCTCTGATCTTAGTTATGTCTTGTCTTCTGCTACCTTTTGGATTTGTTTGCTTTTGCTTCTCTAGTTCTTTTAATTGTGATGTCAGGGTGTCAGTTTGTGATCTTTCTAGCTTTCTGATATGGGCATTTAGTGCTATAAATTTTCTTCTTTTTTTTTTTTTTTTTTTTTTTTTTGAGACAGAGTCTTGCTTTGTCATCCAGGCTGGAGTGTAGTAGCACAATCTCAACTCACTGCACCTCTGCCTCCCAGGTTCATGGGATTCTCTTGCCTCAGCCTCCCGAGTAGCTGGGTTGCAGGCACGTGCCACCATGCCTAGCTAATTTTTTTATTTTTAGTACAGACAAGGTTTCACTATCTTGGCCAGGCTGGTCTTGACCCCCTGACCTCCTGATCCACCCACCTCAGCCTCCCAAAGTGCTGGGATTATAGGTGCGAGCCACTGCACCTGGCCTAAATTCCCCTCTTAACACTGCTTTAGCTGTATCCCAGAGATTCTGGCATGTTGTCTCTTTGTTCTTGTTGATTTTGAAGAAATTCTTGATTTCTGCCTTAATTTCATTATTTACCCGGGAGTCATTCAGGAGCAGGTTGTTCAATTTCCATGTAGTTGTGTGGTTTTGAGTGAGTTTCTTAATCTTGAGTTCTAATTGGATTGCACTGTGGCCTGAGAGACTGTTATGATTTCTATTCTCTTTTCATTTGCTGAGGAGTGTTTTACTTCCAATTATGCAGTTAATTTTAGAGTAAGTGCCATGTGGCACTGAGAAGAATGTATAGTCTTTTGTTTTGGGGTGGACAGTTCTGTAGATATTTGTTAGGTCCACTTGATCCTGAGCTGAGTTCAATTTCTGAATATCCTTGTTAATTTTCTGCCTCATTGATTTGTCTAATATTGACAGTGGGGTGTTAAAGTCTCCCACTATTATTGTGTGAGAGTCTAAGTCTCTTTGTAGGTATCTATGAACTTGTTTTATTAATCTGGATGCTCCTGTATTGGGTGCATATATACTAAGGATAGTTAGCTCCTCTTGTTGAATTGATCCCTTTACTATTATGTAATGCTTTTGTCTTTTTTGGTCTTTGTTGGTTTAAAGTCTGTTTTGTCAGAAACTAGGATTGCAACCCCTTCTTTTTTCTACTTTCCATTTGCTTAGTAAATTTTCCTCCATCCCTTTATTTTGAGCCTATTTGTGTCTTTGTATGGGTTATGGGTCTCTTGAATACAGTACACTGATGGGTCTTGACTCTTTATCCAATTTGCCATTCTGTGTCTTTTAATTGGGGCATTTAACCCATTTTCATTTAAAGTTAATATTGTTACTTGTGAATTTGATCCTGTCATCATAATGCTAGCTGGTTATTTTTGCACACTAGTTGATGCAGTTTCTTCATAGTGTCATTGGCCTTTATATTTTGGTGTTTTTGCAGTGGTTGGTACAGGTTTTTCCTTTTCATATTTAGTGCTTCCTTCAGGAGCTCTACAAGGCAGGCCTAGTGGTGATGAATTCCCTTAGCATTTGCTTGTCTGAAAAGGATTTTATTTCTCCTTCACTTATGAAGTTTAGTTTGGCTGGATATGATATTCTGAGTTGAAAATTATTTTCTTTAAGAATCTTGTATATTGGCCCCCAATCTCCTCTGGCTTATAGAGTTTCTACTGAGAGGTCTGCGGTTAGTCTGATGGGCTTCCCTTTGTAGGTGACCTGGCCTTTTTCTCTAGCTGCTCTTAACATTTTCGCCTTCAACTCCACTTGGATAATCTGATGATTATGTGTCTTGGGGTTGATCTTCTCATAGAGTATCTTAGTAGGGTTCTCTGTATTTCCTGAATTTGAATGTTGGCCTGTCTTGCTAGGTTGAAGTTCTCCTGGATAATGTTCTTAAGTGTGTTTTCCAACTTGCTTCCATTCTCCGCATCTCTTTCAGGTACTCCAATCAGTCATAGGTTCAGTCTTTTTACATAGCCCCATAGTTCTCAGAAGTTTTGTTCATTCCTTTTCATTCTTTTTTCTCTAATCTTGTTTGCCTGCCTTATTTTAGCAAGATAATCTTCAATCTCTGATATTCTTTCTTCTGCTTGATTGATTCAGCTATCTTGTGTGTGCTTCATGAAGTTCTCATGCTGTGTTTTTTAGTTCCATTAAGTCATTTATGTGCCTTTCTAAACTAGTTTTTCTAGTTAGCAGCTCCTGTAACATTTTATCATGGTTCTTACCTTCTTTGCATTGGGTTAGAACATGCTCCTTTAGCTCAGTGAATTTTGTTATTTCCCACCTTCTGTAGCATGCTTCTGTCAATTTGTCCATCTCATCCTCTGTCTAGTTCTGTGTCCTTACTGGAAAGGTGTCACAATCATTTGGAGGAGAAGAGTCACTCTGGCCTTTGGGTTTTTCAGTGGTTTTTTTTTTTTTTTATTCTTTCTCATCTTCATGAGTTTTTCTAGTTTCAATCTTTGAGGCTGCCGACCCTTGGATGAGGTTTTTGTGGGGACGTTTTTGGTTGATGCTGTTGTGTTGCTCTCTGCTTTTTTGTTTTTCTTTCTATAGTTAGGCCCCTCTTCTGTAGGGCTACTGTGGTTTGCTGGGGGTTCACTTCAGGCCCTATTAATCTGCTCCCATGCCTAGAAATGTCATTTGAGGAGGTTGGAGAACAGCAAGGATGGATGTCTGCTCTTTCCTCTGGTATCTCTGACCTTGAGGGGCACCAACCTAATGCCAGTAGGAATGCTCCTGTATAGGGTGTCTGACCACCCTGTTTTGTAGGGGGAGGTCTCACCCAGTTGGCATGGGAAGCAGGACCCATTTAATGAAGTACTTTGGCTGTCCTTTGGTGGAGGGGGCGTGCTGCTCTCGGGGGAAACCCACTCATCTGGATGCCAAGATTCTCCAGAGCTAGGAGGAGGAAAGACTAAGTCTGTTGGTCCATGGATACTATGGCCACCCTCCCCATAGGGGCTCAGGCCCAGGGAGATCAGAGTTCTACCCTTGAGCCCCTGGCTGGAGTTCCTGCAGGGAGGCCCCACCTAGTCAGGAGGGATGGATCAGGGTCCATACTGAAGAGGCAGTCTGACTGTGGTCTGCCACAGCTGGTGTGCTGGGCTTGGAGGAATACCTCTTGAGACCAAGCTATCCAGCCTCCCTGGCTCCAGCAGGGGAAAACACAGCCTGGAGCTATAGTGATGGGTACTGCCCTTACCGCTTCTGGAGCTTAGTGTGTTAGGTGGCTAGCAGCTGCAGTGATGGCTGCCATGCTTCCCCCATGGAGCTCAGGTGGCTTAGACAACAGGCAGCTGCAGCTGTGGTGATGTCTGTGCCTCCCTCCAGGAACTCGCCAGGCTTAGCCAGATTCCAGCCAAGTGGGTGCTGAGAATCTGTATGACTCCATGACTGGGATCCAAGGCCCTGGTGACAGGCTTACGAGTGGGATTTTCCAATATGTGGGTTGCACGGTTTCCAATATGTGGGTTGCACGGTTCCAAAAAGCATGGTTTCCTAGGCTGGGTAACATGCTCACTCACTGCTTCCTTTGGCTGGGGATGGGGGCTCCCCTGCCCTGTGTGGCTCTAAGGTGGGCTACTGCACCACACTGCCCTTCCTTCCTCTCCGTGGGTCACGCCAGCTGCCTAGTCAGTTCTGATGACAGAACCTGGATACCTCAGTTGCTGTGCAGGATTCACATGCTGTTTTGGTTCTTTTTGATGGGAGCCTTGGATCACCACTGCTTCTAGTTGGCCATCTTGGCCCTGCCCTATAGTTTGATTTTGAAAAGTCAAATTATGTTCTCAGATTTGTTTGTAATGCTCTTCTCAGAGGTGACCTTTATTTTGTGTCTTTTGTTTGCACTGCATTGAAAGTGAGGATAAAATTGAGAAGAAGAGGTTTCTCTTTCTCTCCCTTTACCTGCCCTGACAAACTCAAGCTTTCTTCTCTGCAATGGGAACCTGCCTGGAAGCTTTTGTGTTTCGTTAGTCCTGAACTTCAGTCACTTTTAAAATGATGAAGTTGGGTACAGGTAAGGTTCTCAAGCTTCTAAAATTAGTTTTCCTTTCTTTAAAACTCTTTGTTTTATTGTGGAGAAGCACAGTGGGTTAATTCATATTTGAGATAATTCTTACTGAAAAAAGATGTCTTAGTTTGGATTCTCTCTGAATCAGATCCTGAAACAAGGATCTGGGGGCAAGTAGTTTATTTTTGAAGGGGTCCCTGGAAGCACCATGAAGGAGTAGGATTATGGGATGGAGACCTGTGAAAAGTCAAAAGAGAGTGCATTCAGGAGTGGTTACCACCGTGGGTACCTGGGACTCAATCCTGCTGGAGACCCTCTAAAACTGTAGTTGCTACAAGGGGTAAGGAAGCTGGGACATTTATTTACCGTTTTCCATCTTTTACAGGTTGAAGTTTATGTCTGGAGAAATTAACTCCCCACTATTTCTGGCCTACCTGGATATGGGCAGCACATGCTCTTCAGGCAGAGGAAGTCCAGAGTCAAAGAGAAACAAATGCTTGAGGTAGGAACTCATTGGTTTGTGAAGTGAACTGTCTGCCAAAGCAGTAGGCAACCAATGCTACAGGGGTGGGTCAGGGAATATGGGTGAGGCACCAACTGTCTGTGTCAGAAGACTGTTGTTTTCAGATATGAGGAAGTTAGACTTACACTCCCTAAACTTATACTCTGTTAGTGGCCATAAAAATAGATCGGTAATGCTTTGTGCTTTTTGTGGATAATTCCTGTTCATCCACCAAATCTCCATTTAGAGCCAATCTGCCTGAACTTAATTTATCTTTGTAATTCTACACAGGCTGTTCTTGTATTGACCCTAATCATTGTCTCTTGGTGGTCTACCTACCCAGAAAGTATGCTGTATCCTGACTGCCCACCAGAGCTCCCAAATAAGCCATATCAGAATGCAAGGATAATTTAATTTCATCTTTAGCACCCCCTTTCGCCCTCAAAGTGTTTGTTTCTTAGTAAGGGATATATGTGTTGGGGAGTGGGTGTTTGAACACAGCAATAAACCTACACAGTGGCTCCCACTGATGTTCAGCCATGTTCTGAACATGTTATAATTACTGGTGGGCACAGCCTGTCAGAAGTCTGTTTGTACAAGGATTTAAGATCATCCTGGGAGATAATTATTATAAGGGGTGAGGAAGTTAGGGGTGACAGCTTGATCCAGTAATAAGTCTTAGTCATCAGAGGAGGGGGGCTGTTCTGAGAATGGTGTGGTGTCTATGACTCAGATTTGTCTGCATTTCTGGCCTCCCTTTAGAGCATGTCTCAGTCTTTCAGAAAGTTGAGGGTAAAGTTATAAATGAATACTAAATGAGTTGTTTTGCTAAAACTGTTGGATACTGGAAGTACCAGTAAGATTACTTGAGATCTCTCTAACAGAATGTAGTACAATCTAAAGAGAAAGGGCTTATCTTCCAGTTTCAACAATGTCCTTGGAGAGGGCCAGAAAAGGGCAAGAGGAATTGGAAGCCACATGGTATCTGACAAGGCTTGTTCATTATCACAGGTGAGATGCACCCAGGGATTTACCAGAACTACTTGGGCAGTGCTTGATTGATGGCTGCATCCCAGGGAAAGCCATGAAATCTGGGTTAGCTGATTAATGCAACCTTATTTGTTCCCATAGGCTGATGAGAACTGGGCAAACTCAAGCTGCAGATGGAACATTCTGGTAGATATGGACAAATCCTTTCATTTCTTTTCCACAATCAAGTTTAGGATAGACATATACTGCCTGGTCCATAGTAGGTACTTATACTAGATATCCATTGAATGAATTAACTTTTCTCATATTTGATACACATCAGGAGTGAGCAAGAATTGAACTGATACCTGAAAAATTTCTAGTCCCCTTGAGGTAAGGGAACCATTACTTCTTTCTTATTTGCTATGCCTTACAGAAATAAAGTCACGTGTTTTTTTGTTTTTGTTTTTAAAAAACATTAACAGATATCTAAGTGACTGTGTCAGCCAGGTATGGTCGCTTACTCCTGCAATCCAAGCACTTTGGGAGGCTGAAGAGAGAGGATTGCTTGAGTCCAGGAGTTTGTGACCAGCTTGGGCAATACAGGGAGACATCATTTTTACAAAAAAAATAAAATATTTGCCAGGTACGGTGGTGTGCACCTGTTGTCCCAGCTACTAGGGATGCTGAGGTGGGAGGATTGCTTGTGTGGGAGTTTGAGGCTGCAATGAGCCGTGATTGTGCCAATACACTCCAGCCTGGATGACAGAGTGAGACCCTGTCTCATAGATAAGTAAATAAATGACTTCATCATTGTAAAAACTTCAGAAAAATGAATTCACTGGTGGATTAGTTTAATTGATTACTCTCAGTTTGGCATCACTTGCTAACAGTGTGTCTTTGGACAAGTTACCTAACATCTCAGAACCTCAGATTCTTCTGTAAAATTGAGATAACATTACCTACCTAATAATTATGTACATAAAGTGCTTGGTATAGCATATAGGACATGAAATAATTATAATAAGTAATTATAATGGTAACGACAATCATCGTTGTCATCTATTAGATAATCTATGGCGATGCTAAATAAGATCCACCTACGGAACTGCCTCTACTTTGTTCTTTGTTTTTTAGTTGGTTTTCTGCCTAAGAATAAATATGTAATGTAACCTTCATAACAACTTTTTAATTAAGCCTTTGGTAGAGAGGCTTATAAAAAGTTTCTGGAAATTTAGATATATTGACTATGTCCAGTGGTTTTGTTTTATCTGTTTTTGATCCCCTCAAAAAGTATCAACAGATTAGAGATTTCATTTCCTCTTATATCACCTGGGTTGGCTTTTCTGTATCAGCTTTTGCTTGTTTGCATCTTTTGGCTAAACCAGTACTTAAAACTTGGGCCTATTGTGTACTTCTCCTGGTATATCCTTTGTAGGCTGCTTGAAGCAATGTTTGCTGGAGCCGTGTGAAAGTGTATATTGTCTAGAAGACAGAACTATTTTTAGCTTGAAAGTAGAGCTGTGTTTTTCCTTCTTGGCAAATTCCTTTTCTTTTGATGAAAGCCAAAACTTGAAGGTAGTGGTGACAGATTAGGGCCCTAATTGCTGTGTTGTTGGAAATAAAGAGAGATGTTTATTGCTAATCAGGTAAATAACAGACTAAATTTCATCAGTGTAGTAAGATGAGCCCACTCAGTGGGCTGGTCTTGTAGAATACTTTTTCTAGTGAGCCTGGGAAAACTTGTGAAGTGGCAATAATAAAAACAGCATATGGTCTTTGCTGGAACTTTGTCATATATTAGCAATGTGCTGTGGGTGTGGTAATGAACATCAGGTGTATTTGGCTCAAGACTTCTAAACTTGGGGAAGTGGAATTTTGCTTTTATCCACATACTGGAATGTGTTTTTACATTTCTGGTATTAAAAAAAACCCTTAAGAACTACGTTATTTTTTTATTCCTTATTTGGAAGCTATACTGGTCAGCATAAGAAAATACTTAAGATCTTCAAAGGCATACTGTAGAGGTTTGGAAAGCATTTGGTTTGGCTTGAAGTGAGTTTGGCGAGTGAAGTGACAAGCACATAAGAAAGAACAACAGGTGAAAAAATGTGGAGTGTCTTTCATCTTTCAAAGGATTTTCTTGATGAATTGAAACAGCCATGAAAATAAGCACTGGCCTTCATGCCCAGTGGCCTAAAAGGACTTATAGTGGGCCAAATCAGAGTCAGGCAGGGGCCTAATGAAAATCAGGCAACAGGCCTAGGCCTAATTAAATATGTTCTGCCTCTCTCCACTTTTTATTCCTTTTGGGATTTGTGGTAGAGAGATATTTCTCTTCTTTGACTCAGATAGAGCTGGTAACGACTAGCAAAGGCAAACAGTGGCATTAGTAAGTACCTCAAGTAGAACCGGGAAAATTTTTGTTGGCTAAATAAATTTTCTTCAGGCCTATTTCTTTTAAAAACTGCTTATAAAAATTAACTAATATATTTCTGGACTAAAGTAAATATCTCTTGAAGTGGTTGAATGGGAGAGACAAAAACTTTTTATTTTGTTTGGGAAAATATACTGCGTTTCCTCGTAACTATGTTTTAGAACTGCTTTTAAAGATGTTGATTGAGCTACAGCAGCTTCCCAAACTTGTTTAAAGGAGTCTTTGGGATCTATGAGTCATAAATAATTTTCTGATTAAGATCACAAGAAAGATGTCTCCATAGAATTCTGCAAAACTCTAAAGCATATTTGAACAATGTGAATTTGACATAAGAGTAGAACATTTTCTCCAAGGTCCTAATTCATATTTTGTTCATACATGTTCAAACTATGGCAAAGTTTCCCTACTTTCCCATAGTTTATAGAATGCGTACACAGAAGACCTGAGACTGCACCACATATTCCCAGGCCCTCAGTCGAGGACTTCTTTCTTGCCAGTACCCCCCATGAAGAATCTGTTGCTTAGTTTAGCATTTGAATACAACTAAAACTTCTGTGTAACTCAGGGAGATAACAAAGTTAATTTATTACAGCACATTTGTAAAGTCCTAGGAGTTGCCTGAATAATAATAATTGGTGAGTCTGTTTTGTGTTTTTCCAGCCTTTGCTTAGGGAGTGATTTTCAAAGTAAATGACGATGCCAGATTTGAAAGAATTTTAGAGGCACGTGTTTTGGGAGCAGCATGGATGAGAATCAGAGTGAATCTGCAGACTGCAGGACATTACAAGTATATATTGAGCACAAGAAATATAAAAGGTCAGAAAGACAGTCAAATCCTGTGACATATTCCTTTTTTAAAAGAGAAATATAAATACACGACTTAGCCACTGTCAAAGGGTAGTCATAAACAACAACAAACCATACATTTTCAAAAGAGGTCCATTCCCCTGTTTTCCTTTTGAAATGCTTAATGAAAAGCTGCACAAAAAAATTTCTGTGGATTAAGGATTCTGGAATAAGCAAGAGACAGGAACGAAGTCCACGTGCTCTGTCTTTACTGGCTTTAGTTGTTTTGGTTTCAAGCTAAGCAGCAAAATGTTCCTGCCAAGTAAATATGCATGTGCATGGGATGTTTTCTTTGTTTCACTCAGGCGTTTGAAGAAATTTCCTGGTTTGTATCAGTCATACATCATTTTAGTGTAAGAAAAAACACCCCTTGGAACAATTAAGAACTTGCAACTTATCATTAGAATGAGTAATAAGCTCCAATGTCTATTTAGAATTGGTTTTTAGAAATTAATTACTGGGGTAAGTCACAAAATGCTTCACTGTTTTCTAACAATTAAAAACTACAGTTCCACAATTCGTCAGTGAGAAACTTGTTAGGGCAATATATTTATCATTTATCACTTTAGAAAGGGTCTACAACTTTTTCTATAAAGAGCCAGATAGTAAATATTTTAGACTGTGAGCCTTTGTAGCGTGCAAGCAGCCAGAGACAATAAGTAAATGAATGAGTGTGTCTATGTTCCAATAAAACATTATGTATTACATGCATTATGTATTACATTTCATAGAATTTTAACATGTCTTAATATCTCATTCTTCCTTTGTTTTTTTGAAACCATGTAAAAATGCAAAAATCATGTTTAGCTTTGAGTTGCAAGCCAGATTTGGTGCAGGTTATAGTTTCCTGACTCTGTTTTAGAATATAAGGCGATTATTATTTTTACTAAGATGCCTGAGTATTATTTTAAAGAGCAATGCATTTTTTTTCTAACTCAAAATTATTGTATAATTCTGGTCCAATGATTCCTATTTTTCAAATGCATTGTTTGGGCTGTTGGAAGACTGCAGGATGTGGGCTAGCTGAGTGGCATGAGGTTGGACAAATTAAACTCTGACTGTGTTCCTCTCATTATGTTTTAATTCTGTTCATCAGTAAAAGAAACTCATGCCATTGCCTCACTTGTTGCAATGAATAAATTGGTATAATTTTACAATGGAACAACTGCGTGGATTCTTTTGCTGCTCGAAGACCAGAGGGTTGGGCTCCTCTTCATAAAAGTTTCCATGACAATCTGGCCTGAGAGAATGACAGGTTTGCCATCATGGGGAATTTCTCATTAAGGAAGCTTTTCTTTTACTAGGAAGCTTTATGGAGGCTTAATAGTGGGTCAAACAGAAAGGACCAAATGGGACCTTTTCATAAACCATACCTTATACCCACCATGGCCTGAAAGAGAGCTTGTTTCCTCCTGTGTGTGGTGATGGGATGATGTTCAGAAGCTGAGAGGTTAGGGAGGACCACCATGCTACCCTGGGGTCTTTGCTTCCTTGGGTAACTAAGAGACCCAGACACAGGCATGTGTTATTAATACATGGGCTAAGGCAAGAATTGTAGGTCCCTAGCTTTGCTTGTTGAAAGGCAGTGTGTGAAGTCATCAAGAAAGTGGGCTCTGAGCACAACTAACTGAGTCTTTAGCTGGTTCCGCTATTTACTAGCTGTGTGACCTTCACTTCTCTGTGCCTCAGTTTCCTCATCTGTAGAAGGGGTATGATCATAACGATTTTTCTTTCATAGGGTTGTTGTGGGGACAAAGTACTTTAATATATGTAATGCATCTTAGAAAAGCACCTGGCACATGGCAGTGATAAATGGTAGCTATTGGGATAATTTTTGTTCTTTTTGGCCTTGAAAGTAACACTTGAAAACTCTTATTTAAAAGAAGATTTTCTTTCAGGTATAATCACTATGATGATATCCTTTGATCTCTTCTTTCTCATCCATATCACTCCTTTATTCTACTGGTGTATATCTTCCAGTCACCTCAGCCACCCTGTCCTAATATTCATTTTGGATTCTGACCATTGTTTTCTGCCCACTCACTACATTTTGTTATACACTCAGCAATCTCCTGGACCTAAATCGAGAAACACTTAGGTCGTATATAAAAGGGAATCCCTGTTCATTAGGTGTAACCTAATATGTTGTCATATAGCTATGGTATAACACAGCCTGGATTTGGTTACAAATCTATAGGTAATTCAAGGCAGATTTGTAGTAAGCTGCTCACCCACCTGCCCAGAGCTGAGAAGCCGAAAAGATAGAGCCCAGTGGGGAAAACTAGTAATGTTCTGAGCATAGGCTTTATGGCTCATCATGCTTTAA